GGAAATGGCACTGACGTCAGATTTTGAGAGTTCGATGACACGATGTCATGATGTTGAACAGGCGCCCATGTGCTTGGTCGTCTATCTATATATTGGGCTCGTGTTACTCGTCCTGTGCAAACACTCACATAGAATGTCTATCAACACCGAATCCTCTGCTTCTCAGATCGCTCCCGCTCAAGTTACGGAATCCATGGGCAATCTATCGATCAACGGAGCGCCTGACACCGCCGACACAAACACCAACGTGTCCACCCCCAACTATAACCCCATGTTTGGCCAGGCTTCCCTCACGGACCATCTCGATGGTTCTGCACACAACCCCATCACCGAGCACCCATCTGTTGGGCAACCTCCCGTCGTCCAGGGCATTGTCCGCCCCGTCGACTTCCGTGGGAATCTCATCCCACTCTTCGTTCCCGTCGCCGGTTTCGCCTACATCACACGTCTCGACGACTTCCACTTCGGTATACTCGACCCCGACACCGGCAAGACGTTCTCCATCCACGCCGCCACTCTCAAAGCGTTCATCAGCTTTGCGTACAAGGCAGTCTCCATTCCGGAGATACCGGCCCAACCCCTTTTCGAGCCGCTCGGCTATCGCGAGTTCGTCCGCCTCCTCCATCGCGACCCCGTCCAACCAAATCGCCTCACGGTTGTCGACATCAACGGTCAGGTCGTGTCACCCCCATCAGCTGCATTGTTTCCTATTCGAGTTGATTTTCCTAACGACAAGTATCTCGAGGAAGCACTCAAGGTCCGTCGGTCTTTCGGAGGACCAAAGCGCGTGACTCAGGTCAATGACATCATTCTTAACTCGGCCTCGAACAACGCCAGGAACCACCACAACGATGGGAAGGGAAAAAGGAAAGGAAAGTCACACAACAAGGACTTCGGTAATTTCTTCCTTCCTCTAGCTTAGAAATTGTTTCACAATTCCTGGAGGGCGTATGGAACGGATTAGGATTACATAAGTATCTACACCAGATAACTGATAAGATAACCAATACAGTATATAAGGACGTAGGTAGATCGTAGAGTAGTCAGTCTTGAATACATCGTCTTACCCTGTCTTTGAGGCTCTCGTGTGCCGGGACTCGCTTATCTCAGCGCCCCGTCACACCTAAATTGCGAGGACTTTGGATTTGGCAGTTCCTAACCCTCATCTCGGATTGGGAGTAAACTCACACACTATCGCGAGTCGCCTGATTGCTCGCCCTTCAAGAAGCTGCACGGAAGAGACCGCCTCGCATTCTAGGGCTTATAAATATAGGCTTTAGTACCTCACAATTACTGCGACGAAGAGTTCCTCACCTTGCGAATACCAACAATGCTCTCTCATGCCCTCCTGAACGCGTTCAAAACCAAATCACCAGCCCTCGGCGCATGGCTGACGCTCCCGGGGACGTTCCACGCGCGAACCGTTGCACAAGCAAGCCCGCATCTCTCGTGGATAGTCGTGGACTGCGAGCACGGGATGATCCCGCTCGTGCCATCGGCGTCGGAGAGCGTCTCGGCGCTCCAGAACGCGCGCCCGGCGAATAGCAACGGGGGCGGGCTGACGACGATCGTGCGGATCCCGGCGACCGGGGTCACGGCGAGCTCGAGCTGGCAGATCAAGCATGCCCTGGACGGCGGGGCGCATGGGGTTCTGGTCCCGCTGGTACGTACATGCCGTTCTCTACCTTTCTGCCAGATTAAACAAACTTCTACCTTTCTATTTTGTTCTGCTTCCTAGGTATCCACAGCCGAGAAGGCGAAGGAGGTAGTGAGCGACTGCCGGTTCCCGCCCTTGGGAAGACGCGGGTTCGGCAGTCCCTTCACCCACGGGATGTGGGGCGTATCGGCGGCAGACTATCTCAAGGCCGCGAACGACACCATCTTAGTGATGGTCCAGATAGAGAACAAAGAGGCGGTGGAGAACGTGAGCGAGATCGCTGCGGTGGACGGTATCGGTGAGAACTTCTTTTTGGTTTGAAGCTTCGGTGGCATGTGCCAGTGGGAGGCTGATTCAGAGAGCTGTGACTGATTGGAACTTCCAAGATGTTCTATTCATTGGACCGTACGACCTGTCCATCTCCCTTGGATACCCCACGCCAAACCCCGATCCCCACCCAGATGTGGAGCAAGTCATCCAGAAGATCCTGCACGCGGCACATGCAAAGAACAAGAAGTGGTCCGTATCATCATACTTGCACCTGAAATTGAACCATTGCTCAGAATAACAATCGTACAACTTCTCCTAGTGCGATTTTCTGCACTTCAGGAGAGCAGGCAGCGCTCCGAGTGAAAGAGGGGTTCGACATGGTCAGTGTGACGTCAAGTGACCGATCACAATAGGCGCCCGTGCTAATCAGGCAAATCGTGCAGATAAATGTTACAAGCGACACCGGCGCGATGTCCGAAGCCATCTCCAAGCACGTATCCGCCGCGTTGAACAAAGCCTAGGTTACATACGTTATTGTAACCATGTAAACGTGAAATCCGGAGGATTCAATCGTCAACGAACTCAGAAACATGCACTCTACGCATTGGAAGTCTGATGGACAATCCTTTCAGGCTTTTTCAATTAACAAGTCGTAAAGAGGAATATACAGCGAACGTTGGTTTTATGATACTCGTGTGGTATAATCAAGATGTCAACGGTCGTTTCTCGAGACTCCCCTCCTGGAACCACTCAAATCCTTTGGCGCACAGATTTAAGAGTAGGCGGCGATGGCGGTGTCGAAGCCGGCGAGGATACCGTCACGGAGGGCGATACCGTCGGCTTCGAGTTCAGCCTGCATGAAAATGAAAGAGATACAGTTGAGGATCTAATTCAGACTGGAAGGGAAAAAGGCTTACGGGGCCGTTGTCGATGAGGGAGTTGGAGAAGGCGGCGGTGCTGGTCTTGAGGTTGTTCAAGTCCTGGAGGATGAGAGCGGGGAGACCACCAATGGGAAGAGCTATGACGAGAGAACGTTCGCATCAGAAAATGCTCGCTTCTGCGTAACAGGAATGGAAGAGTTGGCTTACCCTGGAACGCGGGCCTCTTGACGACGATCTCGACCAAAGCATGCTGGATGGTGGGCTCGGTGGCGGCAACGGCGTTGAGAATGGTGGTGCCGTCTTCGACGCCAACGGGGCCGGTAGCCTAGTTGAGTGATACCACCAGTGAGATTCGTGCAGAGAGTGTATAGTGTCAGGAAGAAACTTACAATGCGCTCCTCGGTCGCGCTCTGGAGAGAAGTGATGAGAGCGACGGCGCTGTTGTGGATATTCTGGGAAACAAAAAGTTTGCTGGCATTAGCGACACGCGAGAAATGGAACACATGCACGACGCGAAAATAAAAACGCACAAGAGCAGCGAGGAGGGTACCGCCAGTCAAGGGGTACGCGGTGATGAGGTTGTCGAGGTTGGTGACGCGAGCGGAGATGTCGGCGATATCCTCAAGGACATCAGCGACGGCGCGCTTCAATGGGCTCGCGAAGGTGGCCGAGACGACAGAGAGGAGGAAGACGGCGGGGGCAGCGATGCGGACCATGTTTTCTGATGCTTTGAAACGGTGGTATGTTACCCGAGAAGCTCTGGGAGACGAGGATCGTGAGGAAGCAAGGGCAATGAAAGCGAGCCTTTTATACGCGTCCCCACACGGTGGCACATTCTTCGCTTGCGAGCTGGTGATTCATTGTGATGAGCGCGCGGGCAGGCGCACCGCACCCCGTGGGGTCCCAGGCGGAAATCAGAGGACAGAGGAAACGCGACGATCTGGGGTTACATCTCCGTTTGGCGTCTCCCCCCAGAACGGCTGGAGTTGACGCGTAAACCAGCGTAAACCGTCCCCTCCAAGCACGCAACACGACCGACAATTCAGTACACGAGACCCGCAGGGCTCCGTGCACAAGAGGACAGAGCTGGTACAGCCCATGTGGGTGGATTGATGGGAACGGCGTGAAGAAGCAAGGAGCGGTCACCTGGTCTGCATGTACGCAAACAATTCAGTCGAAATATCGCAGCTCGATGAAGCAATCTGCGAGACGCGATTGGGCTCCGTTCTTTCGCGAGAGGGCACAAATCACGAGTGCGCACGACTTGCTCGCACATTCGTCTGTCATTGACGGAGAAATAGGCGTCGTACATGACGTGAAACCATCACGCGGAAGCTCACGAAAGTTGGGAAAGGCGACGAAGGAAAAAGAAGTCAGAATGTTGGAGAAACACATGCACGGGCTTTGTGAACGAACGGGTCATCTGTTCATTCAGGGAATAAAACATCTGAGAAAGCGCTCGTACATGTTTGTTGACTCGACACCAACGTTGGCACATTCAGTACTCCCATAAGGAGGATGGAAGTCGCGAGAAGCCCACTCACTCGCTCGAATAGAAACCATCGCCTACGTATAACCTTATCGAACGCCTGTTTAGTGGGCGTCGCGCTCCTTGAAGAATTAAGGCGACACAAGCGAGGCGAATCGCGACAATAGGCGACGTTGGAGGTCAGAGGCCCCAGGTGATAGAGATCCTGGTCACGACCTGCTCGGGGATCGCCAAGGATGGAGTGACCTGCGTCACCCCGCATTCCTTGCTCGTGAGATGTTATTTTAATTGTTTCAATGCAAAGAGAGCCCGTGCCTGAGCAGGGAGAGTTCCAAGTTCCAGCTTGTCAAAGACGCCATTATTTGGGGTCGGAGGGATGATCCTGGAGGAAAAGCACATGCGTTGCAGCAGAGGAACGAATCGATGTCGGACGATCCCCTTTAGAATTGAGACGGAGGCAAGCGCCGCGGTTGTAGTCTAAGTTACGGCTTTTTCCAGAGGGCTCGCAGGTTTGTCTAGTTTTGTGAACCTGAGGCTACCTTGACGTCTTTTCGCACCACCAGGGACTCTATGAAGAAGCACACAAGTAACATGAGATTTTCCAGCCCAGGAGAAGGCCTTGAAACTTTAAGTTTGTGTTCTGCAACCGCACAAAGGTGATTAAAAATGATTGATGCTGGGAACAGTATCCGTACGCGCCGGCGAGCACCAAGTGAGCAGTCACCAGTGGGCACCACAAGGTAAGTAGGCGTGGATCCCTGGAAAACGTGTTTTGTTGACGAGCGGTCGGCAGAATTCGTATACTTACAGTGGTACGGCGATCGTCTGAATCAGACCCAGAACAAACCCAGAGTTGTAGTTGAGGAATGCCGGCAGCCCAGTAAAGTTTGCCTCATACCCAGCTGTTCCGAGGTTAGGTCCAGCTTGAGCATACAAGTAGGATGAGAACAGCGTAGAGCCTGAGGCCTGAGGTCGTCGTGGAGTCACCAGTCGAGAGGAAATCCAATTCAGGGCATCGGCGTATTTGTCCCAACCCGCCTAGCCAAATACCCGGCCTTTCGCGCCTCCTCCAGTTCTTCGTCGCGTCCTCCTCCTCACCCTACTGCGTCCTCCCTGCCTTGTTTTCCCAACGATGTCGACCCTCCTCACACGCCATGCGTGCAGGGCACTAAGAGCTCAAGCTCAAGCTTTCCTACCCGCTAGGAGTCGGACGATACACGCTACCGCGACACGTGAGTAGTCCGCCAGCACTTTCACAAAAATTTCCAACGCAGCTCGGAAACCTAACTTGCAATGAATGAATGGACAGTGCAGAAGAAGAAGGGCAAAACCATCATCGACGACCTATTCGAGGACGATGCGTTCTCGCCCGACGCTCTCTCTGCTGCCTCCACCACCACGACGTCAACCACTTCACCCACGTCAACAGCCTCACTCACGTCAAATACTCCTGCTGGCACAACCCAAAAATCCACAGCTTTCAAACGCCTCAAACTCCCCCCCACCGAGCGCGCCCGCCGCTTCTCTGCCGAGCTCGCCTTCGTCGAACCCCGTATCGGGCGAAGTCCCACCGTGAAGACACCGCACATAAGGAAGCGGGTGTGGTTCGGCCTGCTGGACTTGGCGCAGAGTGAGGAGGAGCTGAGGAGGGTGGTTGGGCTGTGGCCGGCGTATGTGGCTGGGAGGGAGAGGGAGAGGGAGAGGGGGGTGTATCCGGAGGGGTTGGCGGGGGATTTCGTTAGTGAGTAGGGTTTCTTGTGTTTTTGGAAGGGTGGATGCTGACATAAAACCGGGTTACTATTGCTGTTACCTAGGACGCTGCGCCGAACTCAAGTGCCCCAACCTAGCCCTGGAAGTATTCGGTGATTGGGCGAGGTACAACCTCGACCTCGACCTTTCTGCCGCGCGCTGGCTCGTGCACTCCCTCGCCATCCCCCTTGTCGCCCCATCCACCTACTCTCCTTCCTCTACCCCCTCTTCTCCACCTCAGTCTTCTTCCCAAAACCTCGAACAACCCCAACCCCTCGACAATCTCCTCCTCGCCCTCTCCCTCTATCCAATCTACGCCCTCCCACCCGTCTCCTCCGACCTGCCGACGGCAGCGATGGCGGCATCTGCGTGCTTCGCGCATGGTGGGGACAAGGCGGTGAGGCTTGCGGAGGAGCTGGTTCCTTGCATCGCTGGCTTGGTTGCACAGAGCTCGAACTCGAATTCGACTGTGGAAGAGGGCAAAGGGAGTGGTGTGGGTAAGGAGAAGAAGGAAGGGAAGGCGAAGGGCAAGGTGCAAGGAGTGAAGGTGGCGAAGGGAAAAGAGGGCAAGGCGAAAGAGAAAGATATAGAGCGCGCGATGGTAGAGAAGTGGACCAAGGGCGCGTTGAGGCGCGTCAGCAAGGAGGTGGAGAAGAGGACGGGGAAGGGGTTGGATTTGGGGAGGTTGGAGGGCGTCGTTCAAATCCAGAGTGCGAAATTGGCGCCCGGTGCTGAGGCAACGTTGTAGCGATTTTCTGTCTTGCTTGAAGCTTGAAAGCTTGACGCAGCATCTCTGCTTTGCGGTAATACTAATCAAATATAGATTCACTCATCACGAGTTAGAATTCGCAGGCATTCGGAATCCTTTCGCACATGGATGTCGATGATCTATGTAGAGAGGTCGCGCTCGACCTAGCTCAAACCGCACAAATATATCTAATGATTTCTTCGGCTATTGCAATTTCTTCCCCTTTCAACTTTTTCCTAAACACTATTTCGCAGTCTTACTATCCTCCACTTATTAGATTATAGGAGCTGACAACATAGGACTCATTGACGACGTTAAACAATTACACTGTACACGAAAACCAGCAAATGACTACATTTTAAGCTTATCTAGTGTCCTCTGTAAGACACGCTCATCGTCACCTTTTGTAATTTTCAGGTTGCCTAGTATTCGTCCTGCAAGTAGCTCTTCGTTGAGGTTGGGAGTCGGGTAAGACGCCTGCCCCTCCTTGCCACCCCAATCAAAGTCAATTAGTAGCACCCTATCCTTGTCGTCACAGATGATATTTGGGTCGCGCAAGTCTCCATGGACGAAGCCGCTATCGTGAAAGGATTTAACGAGCTTCCACAGTTGTGATGTCCAGCGTTCTCTGCACGAGGCGAGCCGGGATGAGGCCGCTGTCGTTATTGGGACACCGCTCGAGATGTATTCCATCGCAACTGCCAGCCACCCGCCTGGAAGCTTTTCAAAAGCGAGGATGCGTGGTGCGTGGTCGGAGTCAGCACAAAACGCATGCAACTCGGCCGAGTACCCCCGCACGAATTTTACGAGGATGGTTTTGTAGTCGGGGTCTTCCGTCTCGGCGATGTAGAGCAGTCGGTGTCTCTGTTTGCAGGGATGAAGCTTTCGAATCCCGAACGTGAGGTAGTCGTCGGACAAGCTGCCGTATCTCCGCAACTTGGAGATTGCGGGACAACGGTGGGCACCGTCTGGGATCTTGGGAGGCAGCACAGCGAGGTATCTGTCAATATCTTGTACAATGCGAGCTTGCAAGACAGATGCCGCGGTGAAGGCAGCGTAAAGGGCCGTACGGTCGCGGCCATCCGAAGCGGATCGAATGCACGATAGGGCTGGTGTGAGACTGACAAGCCGATAGCGGGAGTCAAGCACGATAACGGCATAAAACTTAACATCGGAACCTGGACATGGGTCGGCTCAACACGAAAATATCAGACGTGCACACCCACCAACAACAGTCAGACCAAGACAGGGTACCCGCCATCGTTCAAACAGTTCTCGCATCTCCTCCATCCCCTTCACGTGCGACCGTGCAACGTACCCCACGAGCTCTACTTCAGGAATTGCATTAATCTTTGCAACCCGGTTTTTGAATTCGGTGGCCAGTACCACTCCTCCGTGCTTTCCGACACTATGCCCATCCGACCTCACAGAACCAGTGGTAGCTGCGTGAATCGTAGGGATCTTGACACCATTGCGGGCTGCGAAAATTTTGTCGAGGGCAGGTAGAGCTTTGTCCCTCCGGTCATCTTCGATGGCGTAGAAGCAACACATCTTGCGCGCAAACTCGTCAACCTCCAACCGTAATTTTGAACTGTCCACCTTATCTAGACCCGGAATGTCTGTATCGCCATCCAGGATATCCAAAAAATGGCCAAAACCATCGTACAGAAGTGGAATAGGAGGAATGTTGTCATCAGGCTCAGGGCGGTCGTCGAGAATCCTCTCGTTGCTCTCTGTTTGCATACTTTCGTATGTCGATGGCTTTGCTGTGGTTGCCGGAGCGGTCGTAGCAAGTTTCGCGCGCTTGAGACGGGAAAAGGTGTCTTCTTCTGACAGACGGTGCACGGGTTTAACTCGCATCTCTGGAAAGTAAAGCTCGAGCATAAATTCGTCGAACAAGGCGAAGACGTACTGAACACAACGAGAACTTTCCCCTGATTGACATCTGCCTCGAGGAGCGATAACTCGCCACGGTGAGGGCATTGGGCAGCCTTGTTTCGGAGAAAATCCTCGTTTATCTCCCCGAGCTCGCTCTCAATATCGCCAAGCGACCGGCCCCGAAAATCAGCTATGGGATTGAGCAGCTGAATAATAGTGAGCAGTGGAAGGCATTGGAAATGCGAATTTACATGCCTTGTAGGCGATGAGTGTAACTCCTTGAGCCGAATCCAAGCCCATGAGGGCACAGCCAGCCTCCGCAGCGTCATCGAGGAGCACCTGAATTTTGCTAGTGTTGGGGAAGTCTTCGCTGATGCCCAAGCCATGGATCCTGTAAGCTGTTGATGATTGCTCCTGAACCAAAAGATAGGTGATTTGGGGCATAGCAAGAAAGACAGAGACGCTTAAGTTCGGCAGGACATAGCAGCATGTGACCCATAATTAATTGAAACTTGACGTACTTATCATCTCTGGATCTGCTTTGCGGTACATAACTTATTTAAATATAGATTTACTTGGGGAAATTCGCAGGCATTTGGAATCCTAGATGTCGATGATCAGGAGCTGACAACATAGGATTCATTGACGACGGCATTGCCTATCTACGTCCCACTCATCCGAACCGACACCAGAGGGAACAACGAAAAGTGATCCAGCATCGTATTTCTGCTTGATTGACCTCAGCTTCGAATAATGCGAACCGAAGTAGGTTTTTCTGAAATCTCTCTCGTATAAGGAGCCCTAAGAGAGCATCGGGAATCATGTTAGAACTTGTCCAGCCTGACTAGATCTGTGCGCTTCACTGACCTCATTCAGGTAGGAGCCTGAGTCCGTCGTTATTTTATCGAGGACATCAGTGTTTTGCTTGAGGATACTCCGTTGGTGCCGTATTTCAGACCCAGAGGCACCTTCCGGCCAACCCATGCCCACCGTGAACTGTCCGATGGCCCTGCGCCACGATGGATTGAGGCCGGTCGACGAAGGGTCTATGGAATGGACGACTCCGCCTGCGACCAAGCTGGTGAACAAATAAAATGTCAGATTATTTGACGACGGAGACATGAAGTAAATCATTAAGAACCCACTTTCCGGATACGCTAGCGTCGATTGAGAGCAGCGTCTTCGCGATTTCGGCCGGCTGCTCTGTGGCTAGTTTGTAGGGAAGGAGGCGAGAAGCAATCTCGACTTGTGATCCGACTTGCGTTCCTTGGTTCGGAGCGTTGATTACTGCATTGTACCACGTATAGAACGATGGGAGTGCGAAGAAGAGCGTCTGCGCGGCTCCTCCGGTGGTCGTATTTGTTCGCGCGATGAAAGGCGCGAGGGCCGCCTCGGCAACTTCCTGAGAGACGTTCGGGGCGACGTAGAGGACTTAGAAGTTCGACTTTGAGAAGGACGTATAGCCGCCCCATTGGGCATGAGAGAGGTTGGCGTGCAGGGAGATAAATTCGGTGATGACGCTCTGCGCTATGTCAGGAGAGGAGAAGTTGGTGCTGATGGCGGACATGGTCAATGGGAACTCGGGGTGGCTTTGGTATGTCGCGGAGGTGACAACGCCGTAGGTGCCGCCACCACCACCACGCAGAGCCCAAAAAAGGTCAGAGTGTTGGTACGCATTTACGGTCAAGTGTTGACCATCGGCGACGACAACTGTGAGTTGAATGACGTTATCAACACCTAGTAGGTTTTAGAAGGTCAAACCTGGATATATGCTCAGGGCAGAGCACAGCTTACCGAGCCCGTGACGGGGACTGAAGGCGCTGTGGCCTCCTCCCAGAAGCCAGCCACCAGCGGCGCCTACAGTTCCGCCTATGGAAATCCCGCCAACAACGAAGCGTCCTTGCTGGTTCACATAATCATATGCCTCATGCCACTGCACACCAGCTCCCAAAGTGATGGCTAAAAAAATCGTTCCAAATCCCGACTGAAGATGTAAGGACCAAGTCCATACCATTATAGGTCTTCGAAGACGTTGGTGCACCTTGCGGGACGAACGAAGCGCTGTGAGACGTATCCTTGAGATGATGCGTCCACAACATGAACCCTCCGCGACCAGCACTGCGCCCGAGGTAGTCGTGTCCCGTATTCTTGACCACCAGCCGGAGGTTGTTCTTCCTCGCGAAGACTACGGCAGCCTGGACGTCCTCGACCGTCCGTGCGTCGACACCGATCGGCGGCACGCTGCCCTGCTTGCAGGGGAATCCCAGTGTCGTGTCCCTGTAGCATCCGTCTACGCTCCCGTTCCAATGCAAGTAGGTCTCAAAGTTAGGGTTTTCGAGGGCGCCTGGCTGGTCTGCACGCCAGGACGCGTCAGTGAATTTGGCGAGCACCTCGGCACAGTTGCTTGAGGGAGACGAAACCGGGTAGCATGCGGAGGCAGGGGGTACAGGGCGGAGGAGTGGCTGAGACAGCTGCTGGCTCAGAGCAGCGAACGAGGCTTCGTCGGGCCAACAGGTCTGCCCGTAGAGACAACGACACTTCGGGGCGGCTTGGGTTAAGCCAACAAGGCCGCTACACAGTTGTCCACAAATTGGGCTTCGGAGGCTCATCGACCATCTGGCTTGCTCGCAATAGACCCGGAAAACTCGTGACTCTCAAAGTCATGTGCGCTGAAGTGTCGCACAAGCCTATGCCAGAACTCGCCGTTCCCCTGAAACTCTCGGAATATATCCAGGCGAGCAGTCCTGTTGAAGAACTCGCACATTCAGATTCCCGAAGATTATTTCACAGAGAATGGGCCCAACGGGGCACACCTCTGCCTGGTCTATCAGCTCGCTGGACCTAGCCTTCTATCCATGTCGGATTGCCCTGGAAGAGTGACAGGAAGTAGGCGTCTGCGCAAAATTCTTGCCAGGAAAGTAGCCAAGCAAGTGGCTTGTGTGGTGGAGATGATGCACAATGCCGGTTTTGTCCATGGAGGTTCGTGATAACTTCCGTGGCGGAGGAGCGACTGGTACCTGACATCATAACCCAGACCTCACAACGTCTAATGTCCTCTTCCGCGTCGCTGGAAACGTCCAAGACTGGTCAGATCGTGAAGTTTACCTCAACTTCGGCCAGCCGGAGACTGAGAAAATTGCAACGTGCGATCGCAGTCCGCCAGGACCTCACGCGCCTGTAGAGCTCGTCGCGCCAATCGAGGGTGCTTATTTGACCAACTCTGCTATTCTCCAAGAGGACGTACTCCTCATCGACTTCGGCCAAGCCTTTTCCATTTCTCGTCCCCCGAGTCGGTTACGAGCCAGCGACCGTGCCTCACTACCTGTCGCCAGAAGCTCGTTTTGAAGGAAAAATCGGGCTACCGTCTGACATTTGGTCACTCGCCTGCATGATCTTTGAAATTCGTGCCGGATTTCCCCTTTTCGAGGCCTTTCTTGGAGGGGATGACGAGGTCCTCAAAGAGATTGTGGCGACACTCGGGAAGCTGCCGGAACCATGGTGGAATGCGTTTGAGAATCGTCATTGTTGGTTTGACGAAAACGGGACTGTCAAGGCCTCAGAGCTTCAACAGACAATGCTGCCTGCAGAGAAGACGTCTATCCGGCAGAAATTGGCGAGCATTGGTGCTCAAGACGAGCCTCCAGTGACTGGGTCCGATGGCCCGATGATGGAGCCGCTTGGGTCGAGGTTGGACAACACCGAGATTCAGCTTCTAGGAGATTTGCTGGAGAAGATGCTGCGCTATCGACCACAAGACAGGATTACGATGGGCGAGGTGGTTGCCCATCCTTGGTTTGCCCTTGAATAGGTGTATTGTGATGAATCGAAATGAGAAGGTTTGCTCTTGGATGAAAGAAAATGCCTTGATCGAGGTTCAAAAAAAGGACATTGACGAATTTGACTTGATTTTGCAATTGTTTTATTCGATTTGTTTTTGGGGCAGCGGAACCGTGCTCGAACCATAAAAGTATGTCCGCCAAATTTCCCTCTTTCCCTTGAATCACCATCAGCTATCGCAGCCAGAGTCTCTGAGTCTGCTTACAACCCCTTTCAGCTCCCCAACCCCAGTTTTATGCTTATGATGCCGCTGAACGCCCTGCTTACTGCATCCATCGAGTACGAGATCGTAGCGCGCTCCTTGCCTCTGACGGGCAAAGTTCTGGCGGCATACCTCGATGCCTCCGGAACGCGCGTCGGGTTGGGCATCGGCAACCCCAATGCTGAGCTCACCCCGGATATGTCGGCTCGTGCGTTAGCTTCAGAGGGTGGTAGCGCAAAGGTCGTCTGGGGCTCGCGAGCTGGTGATGTGCTTTTCACGACTGCCCCGAGAGCAACGGAGACTGGCCGCAGAAGCGCGGCCGAAGTCCGAAGATGTGGTGTCATCGATGAACACGAAGGCGCTGTCACATTGGATGCGAAATGGGTTGACGTTCAACGTTCAACGTTCAGGTCGGATGGGTCCTTACTGCAGGAGCTGATGGATGCGGCAATTGAGCTTTGGGACGCGAAGACTGCGTCCTGCAATTGGACTTCTCACCAAGTCTTGAGCACCTCCGTTCCTGATGCATGCCTCAAAGTCGGTGGATCCACCACCTGTGGCTACGTCGTTGCAGTCTCCGAAGCGGCGACATCCACGTTTGGACAGGATTCGACTTTGGAGAAGGAAAAGGAGAGGGACGTGGAGAGCGTGATGGTGGACAAGTGGACGCGCGGCACGCTGAGGTGCGTCAGCAAGGCGGTGGAGAAGCGGACGGGGAAGGGGCTGGATTTGGACTTGGGGAGGTTGAAGGGGTTAATGGGGAACGTTGGTGTGAATGCACCCAGTGCTGAGGCGCAAATATGAGGGTGTGGAGGAGAGTGTGTGCCGTATTGACTTATACAATATCGTTACTTTACACTAATAGACTCATCGCGAGTGGGAGCATCGTATCCAGCACCATAACTAGATGTCGGAGAATCGTCTACGCTACAAATTCGTATGTATATTACGACATGCTTAAAGCTAAGTAGGAAGAAAGCAGTCTACGTACAGGGGAAAAACACTGCTTTACATCTCTTTCCTATGTCTCTACTCGTGTCAATACTTTGGGCCCCCCTCCTCCACACCCACCCCCAACTCCCTACTCTCCTGCGCGAGCGCACACGCCGAGCAACACAGCGCAGCCGCGCAGTCGTCCGCGAACTCTCCCTCAATACCATATCTCCTCCTCACCAGGGCCCTGTTATGGACCTGCCGTCCGGTGTGAATGGAAGAAATGGTTCAAAGGGAGAGGAATAACGCACCTGCAGAGCCCACCCGAACATGCAGAACACCGTCAGGCACGCACTCGTCCGTGCACGTCTCGTCTCCTTCTCTCTCCCTTCCTCTGTCGTATACTACAAGTCCTCCAACCGCGCCTTGTTCCCCGCGTACACCATCCATGGGCAGAAGACGGCTTTGCAGACTGTTAGGGGGCGTTAGTGTTGGCTTGCTCACTCAGTGGGGGGCAGAGGAAGGAGGAGAAAAAGGAAGGGAGGAATGAGATGAAAAGAAAGAGATGAAGGAGGACGTACATGTACCGAGTCCCTCGAACGCGCACAGCCCGGTGCTCCATTCGCGTGTGCCGCCGCTTGGCCCTGGTCCGGGGTAGCCTGAAGGTGGGATGGATTTGGCGTTGTGGGCATCGGGGTTCCGCTCGTCCTTGTCAGCTGGAGAGGCGAGGGTAGGGGAGAAGGACATGGTGGGGTGGGCGAGTGGTTGACGAGCGACGACGGGCGCTGGACGTCCTTGTCCCAGTCCGATGCGGTCAATGGGATGGGTTTGAAGCGCCGACGCACCCGCTTCTGCTGAGGAGGAGGAGGCAGACCCCGAACCAGACGAACTGGACGTAGAAGCAGACCCACACGTAGAAGAAGGGATGGGCGTCGCCACCCCGTCCTCGTCAATCAGCGCGAGCCCTTGGACGGAGAGCTGGAGCGAGGGCCTGTTCAAATGCGTTCGTCCGCGTGTCTGTGCTTGCCCGTAAGCTTGTCCTTGACCGAGGGTTTGGCCTTGTACGTGGGCTTGTGGTTGTGCGTAGGTTTCTGCATGGGCGTAAGGGTATGAGGCTCGAGCCGGCCGGGAATGCGTCGTCGTACGTAGGCTCGGGCTCGGGCTCGCGTAAGTAGAAGCAAAGGAAGAAGTAGAAGCGGCGACAGGCGGGAGCGTCGGGATGATGTTGGCCGGTGCGGTCCACTGC